ATCCTGTCAAAGTTTTAGTTTATTTATCCCCTTTGCTTTTGCACCTTTTTTCCTTTCTCTACACGTTCCATTAATAGCCCTGGATACAGCCTCCTCAGCCTATAGCTATAACATGGCTATTACACAACATTAAAAATAATTTAAATTTATCAGTATTAGAAACTGAATTGTGTAAATCCATAATCGATAAACCATAATCAGTGGAAAACAGCAAAAGACTAAACTAGTTCTCTGGTTTATATTTGAGGCTGTGGCCGATTGAGGTAATTTACTTTCTCATGTTGGTTCATCCTTCTAAATGACCAAAAAATGACCTGAGCTCACAGAAACAGACCCACACCGAAGCGTCTGATATTGTATGTTGATCCTGGACCTTTAAACCATTTAGGTTTGAGCTTAATCACAAAAAAACTGATAACAGATTAACAAAAACTGAGCTCAAGCAAAAAAAAAACCTTCACACCCTAAAAACAGTATTTTTTCCAATAAACAGAGGAGCAGCTCTGCTGCTTTTCTCTGGAAAGAAGTTTCCCCAGTTGTAAGACAACAGCAACCTTTCATTTTACCACCAGTACTTTTGGCTAATACCGACAACCCCCCTATTTCTTGATAGACTCATTTAAATGACCTATTTGGTTTATATGAATAAAAGAGTTTTACTCATCCCTATCCTGTTCCCTCTCTTGTTTTCTGTTTCTTGCACCTGAGAGCTGTGACTCCATAGCCTCGTGAGACCAATCCTGATCTCGCGAGTTTTCAAGGTTTCACTCGCAGATCAGTCTGGAGACTCTCCATTAAAGAAAATTTGGAGCCGTTCACCAAACAAACGTCCAATCAGCGTTGGCTTTGAGGCGGGTTGAGGTGTGACGCAACGAGAAGCGCGACAGTTCAGTCTAAAGAACATGGCAGCTTCAGCCGATGAAACTAGCGTTAGCGTGACTATCGAGCAAGTTTTATCGGAATTACAGAGTATTTCTTCACTGAAAGAAGAGCAAAACACTGCTCTGGAGGCTTTTCTAGGAGGAAAAGATGTTTTTGCTCTTCTTCCGACTTGTTTCGGCAAGAGTAGCCTGGCTTGTGGTTGTGTTTTCGTCGTCGCTCTGTTAGTACGTCATATGCTTCGTTGATCTGATTGGTTTATTTGGCCTGTCTATCACCAACATAGGCCAATCAGCTAACCAGTATTTTCGCCCCTTCCCAAAATTACTTCAACGGAAGGTTTCCAGATGGATATGCGAAGCAAATCCATGTGACTGAGTCAGGTTAGTGACTCCATCCTGGAGCGGAATATCAGCAGGGCTGCTATTAACAACTCAATACACTTGGGTCTGTTTTTTAGTGATTGGTCCTGTTTCTCCCCTAGATGAGCTCAGATTTCACTGCGATTAGCTGGATGTCTGCTCATTTTTCTTTTTTTGACATAAAAATCAACACAGAGCTCATCTGCTTAACTGTTTCTTTCTAGACAGAGCCACCTAAGGAGCTTTTCTAACATAGAAAGTGTTTATGGATTAGTGTTTCTATGTTCCTCTTGTGTCTCTGTTTCTGTCTCGTTCAGCAGAAGGCCGCTCACACTGAGCCTGGTTCTGCTGGAGGTTTTCTTTCTGTTAAAAGGCCGTTTCAAAAGTCGGATATTTTTCACAGTGGAGATCAAAAGTTAAAAGGAGAACTGTTCGTGTGATGCTGCAGAAGCTGCAGGAATGCTTGGCTGGTGTGGGATGTGTTACCACATCTGAAAGCTTTCAAACCAAACACCGAGACTCAACTAAAATCTTCCTAAACATCTCCTGCTCTAAAGAAACCGAAGTTAATCTAAGTTTGAACCCAGTGCAATGTACGTGGTGGCAGCATCATGGTCTGGGGTTACTCTTGTTCAAATGGAGACAATAAGGAGGGCAGAACCATGAGAGTTTTAAATACTGGTTAATTTCGTGAGCTAGAAGATGATGAAGACGGATTCTATCAATAACAGAGCAGCTTCGGCAAATGAAAAGTGAAGTCAAGCTTTGGCTGCATGAGATCAGATCCAAATCTGACAAAAATAATTAACAAAGTGAACTAATTCTCATTCTGGGAGATTTAAAGAACAACTGCGCTGTGGAGAAGGTAATAACTATCAAGAAAAGACGCAGTAATGAATTAATAGAACCGAATCGAATTTAAGGACTTTTCCTCTTCTTCCCTGGAACAGGTTAGCTCCTTTTCCAGTCAAATTATCCTGGTATCAGTTTTATCAGGTCTGTGGAGGATCTTTACAAAGGATCTCCTACAATATTCTGATTTATTGAGAAGACAATTTATTTTCATAAGAAGATAATTAAAGTCGTAGGGAAGCGGCTGTTCCAACCGTTATATTTCCGAATTCTCCCGAGTGGAGCCCGACTTTACACGAGTGGATAAAGTGAATGTGATTGGTCGATTATCAAGGGGGCGGGATTGTTGTGGCAGAAGGTTCCCAAGCATTTTGATTGTAGCCGTTTTCTCAGAAGCATCTCGCTAACCAGTTAGCAACTTAATGCTATTCCCAATGGGCAATTCCATTGAGACGAAGTAGCACTAAATTGGTGACTTAGAAACGACACTGTCAAGGAACGCTATGGACAGAGGAAACATGCAAGAGGAGGAGAGTTTAGTGTCGGAGGTCGTGGATGAGTCTCCTCCGTCATACATTTTTTATTTAGAGGAGGAAAGTGGGAATGAAGATGTAGTGGAAGAGGACGCCAGGGCGGCAGAAGCTTGGTTTGGTGTAGAAGGCTTCCAGCCGTACATGTTTGAGCCCTTGCCTCACAACGCTGCCAGTTCTGTTAGCTCTACGCCTGCCGAAGACACAGACGTCCATCCCTGTGAACACTGTGACGGAACTCAATGGGAAAGGAAATAATTCTTACTTCAACCGTTGCGTATATTAGCTGCGACACATGAATCAAGATGCCGAAAACATCTTTTTCAACATTTTTTTTTTTTTTTATGGAAATCTTCTAAATTTTGGGACAATATCGTCTGATAAAGAGTACATTTATATACATGTTTAAACCAGAATGATTTAAATATGATTTCCCTACGACTTTAAATAGTAGTAACTATATCCAGCTGAATAAGTTGATACATCTGACAACGATGTGTTAAATATAAAAAAAAACAGTTAAGTCAAAGAATTTAGCAAGTTTCAGGTTTGATTTTCGTCCTTTTATTGAATATAATAGCTGAATGATGTTTAGCAAGCAGCAGTGACTGTATCTGCAGTAACATCTAGAAACACATCCTCCTGCCTGCACTGCAGATCCCAGAAGCTCGAGGCGCAGACAAAGAGGTGAGGCTCACTCTTGGAATGGGGGAATAAAAAATTTGAGATGCCAACCTGTGGCATGTAGCATCTGAAACCTTTGAGCTACAACCAGCGCCGTTGCCTCAGGCCACTTCTGTGCTTTAAGCTGCTCTGAAGCAACAAAACAGGGATGAGTGGTTAACATTTGGATGGACGGAAAAACCTTCATTTCTCAAACCATGGTCTATAAAGCAGGACGGCGGAGCTAAAGGCAATCTCTTGTTCTTTCTCCTATCTCGTCATGTGATCTTGAACGGTAACACTTTCTAACCTGAGCACTCTGATAAACAGTTTAACAGATAACAGAGGAAGTATGTTGGTAATGTTATCCTTCTACTGCTGCATGCTGAGGCCTGTTTGACAACGCTCTGCTGCAAACCTACCAGCTCACAGCTGCAGTCCGAAAACAAGAGAAGTAAAAGAGTAGCGGCTTAAAAAAGTCAAGCCCTCAAAATGCGAAGGCTGGTAAGAAAAACTTGTGATATGTAAAGAAATGTTTAGCTTAGCAGGACGTTTTAGGGTGACCAAAGGAATCCCACCAGGACTCTTTATCTTGGCTTTTCTCCTTCAGTCCTTCTGTTCTAGATTTGCTGCTGTGTTTGGGACCTTTTTCTGATAAATGATCCATTTAGGGTCAAACTAACTTCCAGAGGTTTAATCTCATAATTGACGTGATCCTTATAACAAGCCCAGATCATGACCCCTCCACCACTGTGCACCTAACCTGACTCCGCCAGAGCAGTGTTTTGCTCTTCTTTCAGTGAAGAAATACTTTGTAATTCTGATAAAACTTGCTTGATAGCCACGCTAATGCTAGTTTCATCGGCTGAAGCCGCCATGTTCTTTATACTGAACTGTCGCGCTTCTCGTTGCGTCACACCTCAACCCGCCTCAAAGCCAACGCTGATTGGACGTTCGTTTGGTGAACGGCTCCAAATTTTCTTTAACGGAGAGTCTCCAGACTGATCTGCGAGTGAAACCTTGAAAGCTCGCGAGATCAGGATTGGTCTCACGAGGCTACCTTCTTTGCTCAAAGATGAAGTAATATGTTTTGGCCAATTGTTTCTAATTCTGCTCCCATCTTTCCAAAAGACGTTGCTTTAGGAGCAGCTTATCAAACTGAAGATATGCTGATTTTTTTTGGGAGCGAATTGGTTCCATTCACTCCCAAAAATTCGCTCTTGGGCATTTTGGTTAGGGCATTGCACTTGGCTCCTATAAGGTTCTGAGTTCAAGCTCCACTCCCACAGACTGCCACCCTGGGTCCCTGAGCAGGACCCTTGACCCCACACTGCTCCCCGGGCGCCGCACAATGGCAGCCACTGCTTCCTAAGGGGATGGGTCAAATTCAGAGGCAAATTTCTCCAGTGTGAGATTAATAAAGTTTATTTATTATTATTATTATCTCTCTGCAAAGGCCACATTTCGTTTGAAGCGAACGTTGCCATTAGAGCAATGCGAGACGACCACAGCTGTGGTAGTTACGTTTCTTTTTGCTTTGGTGTTGAGTTAAAGCCTAATAGTGTTTTTATTTCAGGTAAGATCCCAGTAAAAAATTACAGAAAGTGTTTTTTTGGGGGTTTTCCAGGGTTTGTTTTCCCAAATTTCATCATCTTTAAAAAAAAAAAAAATACCCATAAGGATGAAAAACATGATGCGGCCAGAGCGTACTGACCTTAATTGGCTCTGTGCTGAAACAAATCTTCCTGCTGGGTGGCGGAGCTTCCTCTTCCTCGGGGAGGCCAGGCATTTCGGAGCAACTGCTCTCTGGCTGATACGCCTCCTCGTCTTCTTCGTCATCCTCGTCGTCCAGCTGGCTTCCCCCTGAATCCTCCTCCCCGATGCCACTGTAGGCACTGACATCTACCAGATCCCCCTCAGAGTAATCCTCCCGGTGCGAGCCATCGTCCTCCTCGTTTCCGTCCTCTTCCTTTGCCCCCCATGTAGAGTCTTCGCCTTTCTCCCCCAAGGTTGAAGAGGAAGGTTCTTTCCCTCCTATTTCTAGAGCAGCGTGAACCTGGGCCTGCACCAGCGTCCCTCCAGACGCCTCGGTGGGGAATTCCTGTTCTTTGGCCTGGCACTCCTCTATAGTTGGACCCATTTCTTCAGTTTCGTCAGCCTGGGCACCGGGATCCGATTTAGCCTCAAACGAGGCGGATGTTACAGTCACTGTAATTGAAGGCGCTGATGAATTCAAGTACATGTCTTCTGACAGTCCAGACCCGTCCTTCTCTTGACCTATAGCCTGTCCCGCAGAGCTCCCTGGTAGAGATCCTGCTGCTTCTGGCGCCTGAGCTGCCATGGTACTTGTAGCCTCGGCCGTTATCTCCTTTATGCTCTCCTTACCAACAGGATGTGCCTTCGTACACAATAAAGATACAAATATTTAATTTGAACTCAAAAGCTTCATCGAATCGTTTTGTTTTTCAGTGAGATTTCATCAAGTTCTTACCTTTTTTTCAGCTGGATCTGCTTTGGCTGCAGATTTGGGTTTAGGGGCTAAGGTAGGGGCGGACCGACGCTGGGGGAGGTAGAGATTGTTTCGCACGTCGCCTTTTTCAAATGCCGCACTGAGTTGGCTCACAGTGGGGCTAACCGCCTCGCTGGGGCCGCCTGAAGCTGCGGCGGAGGGGACAGCAGCGGGAGGTTCATCCAGTCGATCTAGAGCTTCCGTAGAACCATTAAAACGGGCCACAACGTCTAGGCGGCTGCCCTGAAAACCCGACGCTCGCTCCTTCTTCAGCAATATGCGGTTGGTGGCGGCTTGCTTCTCCTGACACAGAGATCAAATAAAATCTTTCAGTCTATAGCTTTAGAACAAATGGATTAGAGAAAACCAACCCATTGAAGAACCTACCTGGAGAGTCCGTTGTTCAAACATCCTTCTGGTCTCTTGAAGTTTGGAGAGACCAAAAGATGAGCCTCCGCTCTCGCCGCCTGTTTTAGAGTCGAACCTGTTGACTTTCTCTGAGACTGTATCCCCAAGTTTGAGCAGAGCGCTGTGGTTGACGTTCTCGTTGAGGCTGGAGGCCCTTGGAATAGATAGTTTCAGTGCCTCTTCCCTTCCTGTCAATGATAAAGAATCGATCAAACACAGTTTTAAAAGAAACTCTTTCAAAGTAAACCTTTGAAGGCTCCTCACCTAACATTTTGCCACCGTCCTCTTCGTCGCCAGGAGACTGCATCTGCATGAACATGTTCTTGATGCGGTGGACGTTGGACCCATAGCGCTGGCCTCTTCCGGTGGGTCGGGGCAGGAGGGGCGGTTTGGAGCCAGGATTGGGGGTTCCGTTCGCGGCATTGTTGAGGTGGTCGGTGGCCTTCTTCAAAGCCGCCAGCCCCGCCTCGTAGGCATTGCGGTGAGGCGAGGCACTCCGCAGATTGGAGCCCCCGTTGTTCCCACCAGAGGTCCCATTCCCCCCCGTGGCCGACGGGGGCTGAGTCTTAATCATTTTTGGTGCGTCAAAACCCGCCTGGTGAAGAACAGATCAACAGGGATAAAGGGGGCCACATCCTGCCGCTGGTTCACATTCCCCTCCTGTAAATAGATGACATCAAGTCAGATATCTGCCAAAAAACTGTGTTATAAATGCTGAGTTTTATTTAAAACTCACAAACACATTGTATACATGCGGATTTAACAAAATGAGGCCCCCAATATGTCACAACTGTGACTTCATGCTCCTTCTCTTCGCTGTCCTGCCTTCTATGCACCTGTAGATTCTCTCCTTATCGCGTGCAGAGCTGTTTCTTCAAACATATGTCACTTTAGGACGTATGTTTGCACGTGTGGAGCGGCCGGCTACCTCCAGAGGTAAGTCATCCGTCCTGCAAACGGGAGGGTTCCCATCCCGGCTCGGTGGATGAGCTGCCAGTATGGGTTTTTAGGCAAGACCCTTTACGCTAATGCCTGCTTTGGAGAGTGTCAGACTAGTGGTTAGGGCATTGCACTTGGAATCCTGAGGTTCTGACTTCAAGCCCCACTCCCACAGACTGCCACTCTGGGTGCCTGAGCAAAGACCCTTAACACACTCAGTGCTGTGTCTGAACGCGTTCATTGAACGAAAGTTCATGAACTCGTTCATATTTTGGGCGAACGTGAACTGAACGTACTGTATTACTGCCTGATGAACGTTATTGGGAACTCGTTCATTCTGGTGTCTGTGAACGGCGCGCTCTCTCAATTCAACTCCGTTCAATAGGTTGCCAAATTTCTATAGAGCCCTCCAGGCGAAACCCCGGCTAAATCACACCGTAAACAGGCCTTAATATGTAGCGGGGAAAACACCCAATCTGGCAACACCAGCTACCAGTGTCGTAGCCTAAAGCTGCGTGCGTCATCAAAACAAAATGCAGCGTGGAAGCCACAGCAGCATGGAGGCGACCGTGGAGGCGACAAAGCAGCAGTATGATCACTTAAAACAGTTTTATGACCAGGTGGTCCGTGAGGTTGATGGCAACAATCTTACATTTCTCTGCAAACTTTGCCCGCCGGCTTTCAGTAAAAAAAATCCGCACTTCAGTAACCTTAAATTCCTACCTCAGCCTGGTCCCTCAGTTTGTGTTAGTAAAATGTTTTTGAGGATTTACTATTCATGTAAACCTGCCTGGTATAATTTCCAGGATTCCAGTATTCCTTTTTAGTATGTACTGAAATTAAATTTCAAATTGAAAAAAATATTAAAATAAAAAAAAAACATTTGCACCTTAAAGACTACTTTCCTGTTTTTCTTTTAATAATTCCTTATAAAAAAGACCATTCAAGCAGCACATTTTTCCTGATGTTTTTGAGAATATACTGTAGGGGTGAAAGCTGCAGCTGCTACTAGTGTGAAGTGAATGGACAGCAACAAAGCATTAAAGCAACAATGAGGAAATGCTGTCCCCTCAATGCTAATGTAAACCCTGGTTGGATAAGGATTCAAAACTGGATATGAAGATGAAATCTGACGCTCAGTTTCAGTGTTACAACTGATAAAATAATTACTGTCTGTGGTTCTACAGGAGGCTATGGAGTAATTGAGCAATATATGAAAAAAAAAAGAACTATGAACTAGTTCATTTTTTGGAACTGTGAACTTAGTTCAAAATTTTGAATTATGAACTATGAACTGAACTAGTTCATTTTATGATGTGTAAACTGAACTTTGAACTAGTTCACGTAGAAAAAGAACTTTCCCAACACTGCCCACACTGCTCCATGGGCACTGCACAACGGCAGCCCGCTGCTCCCCAAGGGGATGGGTTAAATGCAGAGAGTTCATTTCAACCATAAGCTACCTTCTGCTCTTAGAAACCAATGAGTTTTTAGAAGCATCTTTGCTTAAAATCGATAATAAGAAGATCAAGGATGTGAAACTCCTTAAGTACCAGTGTCTTGCACCTTTAAGATGTGTCTTTGTTCCAGTGCACCTGTATCAAACCATTGAATAAATCCCTCCTTATGCAGGTTCTCTGGAGTCCTGGCAATCATCTAAATATTGGAATCAGGAATGTAGAAGCAAGGACATAACTGAACGCGTCAGGACAACGGCCCTCAAGGACTGGAGTCCAACGAAGAAGGCAGCCTTTGGTGAATTTACTTCACAGCGATAGTCTAATCAGGGCTTATCGACGCAGGAAACAACGAGACGTCCAGATTCATCACACTGCTAAGCACAATTATTACCAGACATCATATATTTCCCTTTGGAAACAGACACGGTGAATTAGAAAAGCAAACTAGCCAGTTAAGTGCCTTAACCATACAGCAGCTATTAGCAATGTAGTGTCAAGCAAAAGATTAACAGGCAATCTTATTATATTAGATTTTAAAATACTTTTTCTTTTGTTACTAATGTTTTAACTAATTTGCTTTTGTTATATTTTATATGAATATGTGAGAAATATGCAATTACAATTTAAACATGTATTTAGAAGTTCAGTGAAACATGGAATAAATGACCAAAATGCTCCCCCTGGATTCACATGGGAAATTTATGGCATTTTTATGAACAAAACAGATACCATATGTGGAAGAAACAAGCCACACGTGCACAAGAAAAAATATTTTTTTTAGGGTAATGTTGGATATATTTCTTTCCTTTTGCTACAATGGGCAAAATTGTTGCTTTTCTGTTTTTTTTTTTTGTTTTTTGTTTTTGCTGTAGAGGCTTTTTACATATTTTTACATATTTAGATTTACAGTCCATGTTAAAATTTAACCCAATAGTAATTCACCAACAGGTAATTCATCTGACAAATATTTGACTGACTGGAAAACGTTCCCTTTGCAAATCATAGCGACATGTGTGGTGGAAAAACAAAAGGAGAGTCTGTCTTCCACAGCAGATAGCCCAGCTAAAAATAAATATCTTTGTAGACACATACATGATGATGTCCTTCACAAAACTGGAGCAATCTAGTTTTAATGTCATATACAAGCCTAATATTGCATGTGCATTATTCTGTTACAAGTGGAATGCTTAAGGCATTTAAAATAACCATTTTGAGTCTATTATTGAGTCTATATATCAAAAAACTAAAAAAAAATATGTTATAGTATCATATAGTATCAGTGTGAATAATTAAAAAAATGTCTGAAAAAAGTGGGACATTTTTACTCCTGTTTATAATATTTACAATATGGAGCCTAGGCAGAAGTTCAACTGAAGAAACTGATTGTTCTCCTTCATCCACCTGCGACACAGCCAATCAGCTTTGACCCACACCTCCACTAAAGCCAATCGGCATCCAAAGTTCATCTTGAAAGGCCTCCGATCCGCAACTTGTCTGCTCTTGTGCGCAGGCAGTGGTCGTGTTGTATCAGACTTTCATTCAGATGACCCCGTTTCAACCCACTTCCACCCCTTCCTCCACCATCGTCGCCAAAGCTTCATCAGAGTTTCATTCCTCCCGGACTCTTACTGAATTCTAGGGCTGGGCGATATGGCAAAAATAAAATATCGTGATTTTTTGATTATATTATTGTAATTTTATCACATTTTTTTTAGATACGACCAACATAACTTCAGTTACATGCAAAGGAGAGAAAAATTAAATAAATGAACAAGTTTATTAAAATTAGAGAATCAAAGCAGTGCTAACAAACTTTTTTTTTTTTTTTCTATATTGTAAACACACAAAAGAGTATAAAAATACAATAACTCCTGAGTAAAACAATTACAAATTAGTTACTTTTTTCAAGTAAGTGCAGTTTTATTACTTTAAAATCTTGACTGGTCTAATAAAGTAAAAGAAGAAAGAAAGCACACAGAAACTAACTTAAGTTTCAAAAAATATATTACATTAAACAATAGATTCTAACTGATTTTTAAACTAACGGACGGACGTCAAACCCTCGGATTTTATTCTAGCTGTGATGATGCATGTAAATGTGGTCAGTGGCAGAAATACAGCAGCACTGCAGTTTTGTGAATCCTGATAAAACGACCTCTTAATAATGACAGATCGTCAGAGGTGTAGATCGTAACACAGTCTTAAATCGTCATATCGCCCACCCCTACTGCATTCCGCGTCTCATTTCAACCGCTCTGGCAGAAGATCGCCATGCCAAGTCTGTTTCTGCCAGAGGTTTCTTTCCAATGAGGAGTTTTTCCTCTCCACTGTCGCTTCATGCTTGCTCATCAAGGACAGGTTCTCTCAACCTCTGTTATTAAAGTTGGACTTCCATATTCCAGGTCCCTGAGTGAAGCACTAGAATCAGCTCATGCAATCCACTGGATCTCCCCATAAAGCTCAGCAGACCGTCTCGCTAACCAGCAGTCTACAGACTGACCAACTCCATCTATCTCCACTTCACCACCAGTTTTAGACCTGGGGGGGAAACAGCCCTGTTCTTTACTCCTGTTCATGCTTATCTATCAAAATTCCTGCGAAGGTCTGAGGGCCAATTTTAAAATCATTTGCAGCTTATTTGCAATAATTATAGCTCTGTAAATAATTAGCAGAACTATAAATAAGGACAATCATGTCTGTGTGGCAGCCCATTGTAAACATTGAGGTAATGTGAGGAAAAGGACAGAGAGTTAGCAGTACTTTCTGGTCCCACAGCAGCTCCTGATGACACTGCTGACAAACATCCACTCTGCAACCACTGTCTTGTGACACTTTCTTCCCAGATACCGGTAATAGATTCTCACATACTGATCATGTGGAACAAACATGATGTGACACAAATAATCTCTATAGAGGCCTAGAGAACCACAAAAAAGCATGAGCTATTGCACAGCTACTCGCCTCCTTCCTGTTATTGTTAACATGAAGCCGGTGGCTCCTGTCTGAAGTGAGGAATAAAAAGCTGAGTCCAGTGCCTCCACCTCTGAGCATCTCTTCTCGATCGGTGAGGAAAGAAACAACAAACTGCAGCCGCACTGCTCTCACTGGAACAACTCATTTGCCTCCTGCTGGGTTCCTAGTCCCCGCCGGTTTGGAGCTGCTTCCTGCTATTCAGCCTGGATGATCGCTCCTGCCTGCATCGTTAGGTTTCTCCCTTTTAAAGATGGAGACTTTTATAGGCCGCGTTCGTTTCAGGATTTGTTTGGAGCCAATTCCACCGCTCTAAAATAGAACTAGACTATAAAAATACATTCACTGTCAAGGAAAGGTTTGACATGCAACCTTGTTGTATTAGTTTTTAAGACATTTATTCTTCTGTCACTGTTTTAAACAGTTCTTGCATTTGTTGTTTTTACGTGAATACAAATACATACGGAAAAAAGTTATTTGTTCGTAAAATAAGTGATTTATTCTCAGATTGAGGAGGTAAAAGAGACATTTTGCCAATGGAACGAGACAATTTAGATTTAAAATCTGAAAAACTAGTTGCATTGTCTTATTTCAAGTGCATATTATCTAATTATCTTATTTTAAGAGTAAAAATACTCATTCCATTGGCAAACTTTATCATATTTACCTACTCAAATTAAGAAAAAATACACTTAATTTAAGAGATTTTTACTTATTTCTGTATTGTTTCTCCAGTGTAATCCTTGAGGAGATACAAACTTAAATTTTTGCTCCAAAATTAAAATTTATTAACCGCCAGTTAAATGAAACTTCTTTACTCTAAGTTGATCCAAATGAAACTTAAATAAATGTGAATGTTTTACTGTTCTCCTCAAAGTGTTTGAATGATAAAAAAAAACCAATAATAATAAAAATAAGGGCTCAGTTTTGAAGCAAAAATTAAGTTTCCATCCTGATTCACCAAATTTTAAAAAATCTAAAAAAATTTGTTTTTTTTAAAGCGAAAGAAAAGTGTAGTAGGTTTCTTTCAGCCAGCTGACAGCAGTGCACAGCAACAGGTGGAGGAGGGGACCCTGTTCTACTTTGTGGTCATTAAAGCCGTGAAATTCCCTTCCCTGGAGGACTTTCTCTAGTTTCTCTCTCTGGATGGAGCAAACCACATGATGACTGCAGCATGTCACCAGGAAGAATTGCCAATAAGTTGATATGATCCAAATGAAACTTGTGACACAGTTTAAGTGATACAAAATCAAATAAATAAGGGGGTCAGTATTAGAGCAAGAATTAAATTTCTATCCAGATTGAGCAAATTTAGCGGCAGCACTAATGTTATAGTCAGGCGCACCTTCAAGGGGAACCTCTTAACCATGAGGCAGCAGCTCACACCTTAGCTGTGGTTGCCAGGGACAACCTTTCAGGTTTTACTGCTGGTGTTTCACACTTTGAGCAAAAACTAATTCTAAGTTTTTCTTTCTTATTAATGCGGGGACGTTTCACATTGGCAAAATGATCTGGGGTTAATTATTAACTTTTAAAAAATTACTTTTAATCTAACTAATCGAAATAATCAACTAATTTCCTTTGTAATGTACATGGTCCATTAAAGGGCAACACAGGGCAATCAAGCTGAGAACAACTTTACGACCATTAACCAAAGCTCGTGGCGGCCTAGTGGTTAGGGCATAGGGCTTTGAATCCTGAGGTTGTGAGTTCGACTGCCGCTCTGGGTCCCTGAGGAAGACCCTTAACCCCACACTGCTCCCTGGGCCATTCCCAAGGGAATAGGTTAAATGCTGAGAATTAATTTCGTTGCTCTGTACTTATGACAGTGGAATGACAAAAAATTGAATTCTATAAACCACTTTAAAAAAAATGAACCTGTTTTACTTTGTGCTCTATAAACCATAAAATTCCCTTCCTTCCAGGACTTTCTCTGGTTTATCTCTGGGATAGATGTAGTCTTGAAAACCAGACCATCCTTATAGAGCTACCAGACATTTGTATCCTGACCACAGGATGTTTGCAACATGTCACCAGGTGTGGGGACAAAAACAAGAGTTGCCGATCCCACTGGAGATAGACCGATACATCAATCCATCCATTTTCTGTCACACTTATCCCAAGCGGGGTCACGAGGAGTGCTGGTGCCCATCTCCAGCTGTCTACGGGTGAGAGGCGGGTTTCCCCCTGGACAGGTCGCCAGTCCATCACAGGGTAACCATTCACGCACTCACACCTAAGGAGAATTTTAGAGAAGCCAATTAACCTAACAGTCATGTTTTTGGACTGTAGGAGTAAGCCGGAGTACCTGGAAAGAACCCATGAATGCTCAGGGAGAAGATGCAAACTCCATGCAGAAAGACCCATTGTCAGGAATCAAACTTGGAACCTTCTTGCTGCAAGGCAGCGGTGCTACCCAGCGCCACTGTGCAGCCCTAGACCGATACAGATAATAATAACAGTTTAAAGGCCAATTTATGCTTCTGACACATAGCCTCTGTAACCGTCAAATCTGTCTCTGTACGGAAGCGGAAGTGCTCAGACAAAAAGCAGCTGTGATTGGTCCTTGGTTTGCCTTTCAGGCTGTCTGTGTGGTCGTCCTTCTCGATTTGGTGCCGGGTGCGCCATTTTTAAAAACCGAGGAACAACTACGACGAAAGGTTAATCCAGGAGGTTCAGAAGTAGAAGTTATATCACTTGTACGGTGCCTCAGACAAATCATATAAAGATACCAAGGTCTCGGCAAAAACGAAGTTCTCGTGACCATACGCCGAAGTTCTTGCGCGTTCTTGAATAGGCTCCCCTTAGAGCTTTGGCGGGAAACTGCTGTCCGTCAGAAGAATTTCCAGACAGACGTGCTAAAGCATACCAGCAAAACGGGTTCGCGACCAGATCCAGGTGACATTTGATGTGTGCGGTTGCAGATGTCTAATCTGCCCTTTAGTATACAAATGTGGCTGTTACCTCTTAACACCATTTAGCTGCTTTTCTTCCAGAGCAGCTGGCCACACTAGTTTTAAGCAGCTACTTAGTTCCCTTAAGGCCAATTGATGCTTCTGATGCATAGCCTCTGCCACCGTCAAATCTGTCTCTGTGCACAACCACGCCCCCCACGCAGAGGTTCTGCAACCGTCATTGCACACCTCAAAAATCCTGACTACGCCTTGGATGGTCACAAACCAGCGCAGATCTCAAGCGGAAGTGCGCAGACAGAAGCAGCTGTGATTTTCCAGCTGTCTGAGTGGTCGTCCTTCTCGATTCGGTGCCGGGTCTAAGCTCCCCAGTCTCATCCGTGGTCGGATTCAAGGGGCGTACAGACCACCTACACATCCTCCTTTGTGTTTTTGCCAACTCCATTAACAGAACCTGTTCCTCTTCGATGTCCAGCAACTCTAGATCCATCTCCCTGACTGTGATAACTTCAAGACGCGCCATTGTTGTTTTGGAAGATAAACACTTCCAACCGGCAACGCCGAAGTTCTCGTGACCATCCACCGAAGTTCTGCGCTTTGGCGGGAAACTGCTGTCCGTCCTTAGAAATTCCAAACCGACGATGCAGAAGGATACCAGCAAAACTGGTTCGAGACCGGACGACATTTGATCTGTGCAGCTGCAGAAGTCTAATCAGCCCTTTAGAGTACAAACCGAGCTGTTTTGCTGTTTTACTTCCCTCCCATGGTGTCATTCCTCTCTCCTACGGCATCTATTTCAGACCCACAGCTTTAGTCAGTTATGCAAATGTGTCTGTTACCTCTTTTAACACCATTTAGATCAGCTCATAGCTGCTTTTCTTCCTGAGCAGCTGGCCACCCTAGTTTTAAGCAACGACTTAGTTCTCTTATACCTGGGGCTGGCTCTGATTATGTGATTATCCCAGTTTATTACATGCCACAAAATCTGCTGCAAAAGATTTAGCTCATCCTCTGTCCCGGCACTTTCCCTTTAATCACTTCTTTCTGCTCTGGTGACTTCTCTAATCTAAATCCCTGGATTCAAATATTTTCTCATATCATCCAAAAAAAATCAGCTGCAGGAAAGATGCTTTGCGCAGTTGGTTCAAATCAGTTCAACGCATCATCTTTTCCTCCTGTTCTGCAGACATGCTTCATCTCTATCCCCCCAAAAACACACAAACTCTGGTCACATCTGTCTGTTTGCAGCAAAAAAGAAAGAAAGATATGCGGTGAGTTTAGTTTCCTGATGCCCGCGCAGCAGCTCCCCATCCCCGCACGTCTGCGTGCGTCACCAACACGCAGCGTCCAACAGAAGGCGCATTATAGTAAACACAATGAGTCCGTCTATTCCCGCAACAATCCCCGCAATCTGTGCAGGAGACAGTCCGGCCTGGACTGGAGCGGGACTTCAGTCTGAGCTGCTGGGGCTTTGTTTGTCAAACTCCTGCTGGAAAACAGCAGCAAAACAGAAATTTGTTGATTTTTCCCCCTGCTTTTTCTGCATTTATATTTAACACAAACAGTTAGAGCTTCTTTACTGTGTCGTATTATATGCAAGGATGCAATATTTATTTACTTTATTGTATTATTTCGATTTGGAGTCCAAAATAAATGCAAATTTTTTCAGCCGAATTACTCCTGGGATACTAGTGGATAAATATTGATATTTCTCTGGTTCTCAGAGGTGATTTTCTCCGCAGGGGAAGCGAAAAAGCTTAATTTCCGTGTTTTTCTAAGGCGGTTCGGCGGGGCGCCTGTCTAGAGGCGAGCGGCGGGGATGTTCCGGATGTGTCGTCCCGCTGTGATTTCTGTCGCGTCGTTTCGGGTCCTGCCGGTTCGAAAACGGCCGGGTTTTGTTCCCAGCTGAATAAATCGTTGTCACCGGCTGGTTGCGGAGCCGGAGCCAGCCGGTCAGCAGGCCCCGCTGGGTGTCTGCTGCTGAGCCGCTGCTTCCTTCCTGCACCCCCCATCACCCCCCCCCTCTGCCGCTGACAAACAGAAGCTGTTAAAGCGGGAGAAACAGCAGCAAACCGCGGAGCCCCCAGCTGAGCCGGTCCCCCGGCAGCCATACCTGCTAATCCGGTCAGTGGAAGCGGTGGCCGTTATGATCGGAGGCAGCCCATTGTCCTGCTGCTGTCGCTGATTCTCCTCTGAGAGCCTGCCTCCTCGCTGCTCCTCCTCCTCCTCTTTTCGCTCATCATCTGTTTTCCTCCATCCCCCCCCCCCCCCCCCCCCCCCCTTATCCTTTCTTATCAGGGGCGCCCCCAGCTTTTAGAAGGGCCCAGATGGGGGCCCATCATGGTAAAGATAGTGAGGCACCAGGGCCGGTCAAAAATAGTTGAATTCCCAAAGTTCATTACTCCCCCACCCTTCTAAAAAAAAGAAACTTTCTCTACTTTATTATATAAATCCAAAATTACATTATTGAAAATCTACTTTTTACCAGCCTCTCTCTTTCTCTTAGTTAAAGTCGTAGGGAAATCCTATGGAAATTTCAAATCATTTTGGCTTAAACATGTATATAAATGTACTCTTGATCAGACCATATTGTCCCAAAAGTTAGAAAATTTATAGTAAAAAAAAAAAAATCCTGTTGTTTTTTTCCCATTATCTTATGCAGGCCAGTTAGTTATACGTCAGCCTGAACACCTAAATTCAGCCAATCAAATATCAACGGTCATCTGTCAATCAAATTTTTTCGGTCATAGCATCTTGATTCATATGTAGTTGCTAATATACGCAACGGTTGAAATTAGAATCATTTCCTTTCCCATTGAGTTCCGTCCCAGTGTTCACGGGGATGGACGTCTGTGTCTTCAGCAGGCGTAGAGCTAACAGAACTGACAGCGTTGCGAGGCAAGGACTCAAACATGTACGGCTGGAAGCCTTCTACACCAAACCAAGCTTCTGTCGCCCTGGCGTCCTCTTCAACAACATCTTCATCCCTGCTTTCCTCCTCTAAATAAAAAATGCATGACGGAGGAGACTCATCCACAACCTCCGACACTAAACTCTCCTCCTCTTGCATGTTTCCTCTGTCCATAGCGTTCCTTGACAGTGTCGTTTCTAAGTCACCAATTTAGTGCTACTTGGTCCCAATGGAATTTCCCATTGGGAACCTACTAGCAGCAAGTTGCTAACTGGTTAGCAAGATGCTTCTGACAAACCGGCCACAACTAAACTTCTTTCCTAACCTTCTGCCACAACAATCCCGCCTCCTTGATAAACGACCAATCACATTCACTTTATGCACTCGTGTAAAGTCGGGCACCACGCCAACGGTTGAAACAGTTGCATGTTCACCGGAGCAGCAGGAAAATTAACATGATTGCAGATTTTGAGCGGAACGTCCTGCCACAGCTTTGAGTGGTGGAATGAATGAGTGAACATCCTCCTGAGCAGGGAGAGCGCGGCGTTCTGCTCCGTTCACATGCTCTGCTCTTAATTAGGAGGTACTAATTAATAAGATCCTGCCTTAAAATTATTTGATGACTTAGCAATCAAAATATAACAAAAAACTGTCATTATTTCCTCTAAATTGTATTCCAATTTCTTTATAATTTTTATTTTAATGAAATATCAATAATTTTATCTATTTTTTTTAAATAAAGCGTCACTTTTGATTTTCTTTAACTTATTGTGTTGGCTTTATGCCCCTAAACATACTTTTGTTTTCTTTTCTCCCGTTGAGCACCTGCTACTGAAACATGCAATAGAAAAACGCTTGCTTTGCCTTTAACTTGTTTTTGTCTGTTTTTATTTTCGTAAATCACACTTTTGTAAAAAAGGGGCCTTTTAAAAAATTGTGCTCAGGGGCCTAAAATGTCTAAGTTCACCACTGACCAGAGAATCAAACTAATAAGAACAAGATTTAGAGATTTGAAGCTTATTAATAATTAGAAAATGCAACATTTAAGCTTTTTTTGGAGAGTTGGAATCTTTCTAATTCTAATGCAGAGCCAGGTTTACATCCAAATTGATGCAAAAAAAAAGTACAGTATAGTAACCAGTCTAAAAGTTGTATTCAATGATTTTCTAAAGTTAAACTAAAAGCAAAGCAAGTTGGCTTCAGACATCAGCAGCCATGTTTAGATGTTCTGGTAGCTGCCTGACCTTTTATTGTTCTGGAACAGATAACAGATGGATCTAAAGCCGGGTTTGTTATTAAAGCTGCAGCAGTGCTTCTGCGACATCTGCTGGCCAAATACACTCCCCGGCCACTTTATTAGGTATGCCATGCTAGTAACGGATTGGACCCCCTTTTGCCTTCAGAACTGCCTCAATTCTTCGTGGCATAGATTCAACAAGGTGCTGGAAGCATTCCTCAGAGAGTTTGGTCCATATTGACATGATGGCATCACACATTTGCTGCAGATTTGTCGGCGGCACATCCATGATGTGAATCTCCCGTTCCACCACATCCCAAAGATGCTCTATTGGATTGAGATCTGGTAACTGTGGAGGCCATTTGAGTACAGTGAACTCATTGTCATGTTCAAGAAACCAGTCTGAGATGATTCCAGCTTTATGACATGGCACATTATCCTGCTGAAAGTAGCCATCAGAAGTTGGGTACATTGTGGCCATAAAGGGATGGACATGGTCAGCAACAATACTCAGGTAGGCTGTGGCGTTGCAACAATGCTCAATTGGTACCAAGGGGCCCAAAGAGTGCCAAGAAAATATTCCTCACACCATGACATCACCACCACCAGCCTGAACCGTTGATACAAGGCAGGATGGATCCATGCTTTCATGTTGTAGACGCCAAATTCTGACCCTACCATCCGAATGTCGCAGCAGAAATCGAGACTCATCAGACCAGGCAACGTTTTTCCAATCTTCTATTGTCCAATTTCGATGAGCTTGTGCAAATTGTAGCCTCAGTTTCCTGTTCTTAGCTGAAAGGAGTGGCACCCGTTGTGGTCTTCTGCTGCTGTAGCCCATCTGCCTCAAAGTTCGACGTACTGTGCGTTCAGAGATGCTCTTCTGCCCACCTTGGTTGTAACGGGTGGTTATTTGAGTCACTGTTGCCCTTCTATCAGCTCGAACCAGTCTGGCCATTCTCCTCTGACCTCTGGCATCAACACGGCATTTCCACCCACAGAACTGCCGCTCACTGGATGTTTTTTCTTTTTCGGACCATTCTCTGTAAACCCTAGAGATGGTTGTGCGTGAAAATCCCAGTAGATCAGCAGTTTGTGAAATACTCAGACCAGCTCCTCTGGCACCAACAATCATGCCACGTTCAAAGTCACTCAAATCACCTTTCTTCCCCATACTGATGCTCGGTTTCAACTGCAGGAGATTGTCTTGACCATGTCTACATGCATAAATGCACTGAGTTGCTGCCATGTGATTGGCTGCTTAGAAATTAAGTGTTAATGAGCAGTCGGACAGGTGTACCTAATAAAGTGGCCGGTGAGTGTATATCAGATGCTGCTAAATGCTGTTAGCCTGCTGCAGCAGATTGGAATGGATGAGGAGTCCAAACATGCAGGCAAAGCTGAACAGAAGGCATCCTAAGGCAGACCCACTCTGCAGAGGGATGCTGTTCGTGTGATCTGAAGTCAAGGCAATGAGCCAAAGCAGACCAGCTGGCTCTGTGATGGTCTCTCAGCAGCCAAACAAAAGGCTGAGTACCTCATTAGATTGATCGTTTAAAAGGACATAAAAGATGTCCAAAGATTTTAACTTATTGATGGCTGCTCATTTCGTTTTAAATGACACATTCTTGTCTCGGCCTAAAAATAGGCTGATAGTTAAGGATCATTTTTACAGGTCTTCCTTTAAATGAATCCATTGTTAGTGCATTTCTGTTCTGCTTTCCTGAGTCATCACTTTTTGCTGCAGTTCCAGATCCAGATCTAAATTTCCTCATGGAAATGCTGACATGTACGGTCACACAGGTTCAGTTTAAAGCTCAGGATATTGCTCTAAAATAGTATCAAAGCTACTAAAATAATACATTTATTTTAGTTATCTGCTGAATAATAATTAAACAGAAAAAATAAAACTTTGTTTAGTTTAAATCTCTGATCTGATTTTTTCCCACATCACTGACTGCAGTGCGTATAGAAAGATTGCTGCGATGCAGGAGGAGCAGATCCCGATCTGTGCAGATATTTTTCACTTCTGTCTCTAAGCCCAAAAAAATAAACAATTTCCCACATTTGACAGGGAAAGATTATGAAAAGTTATTTAAAAAAATGGAGAAGCTACAAAGCAAAGCCCAACTTAATGACTATGCAGCAATCAGAACTGAAAGGGGATTTTTACAGGAATATATTAAACATACTACATTTAAAGAAAGGGAAAACACAGCAACAGAAGCTGTGGGATGGTTCTTATGGGTACAGGATGTGGAATCATATTTTTCCTTGGCCTATTCTGTGAGATAAAATGTTTTGAGTGTGTCTGTCTGAATACCAGCCACTGTGCTGTGTTGGGATTTTATATTCAATTCCCATCCAGCTGGGAATTCATATTTTCTGATACTTTAAGATGTTTATTGCCCTCCCAGGTAGGGGTGGTAAATATCTTATTTAATCAGATATTATTTTGGCTGTAATATACTGTTTAGAACAATAAATCAAAGAGGGATTCAAGCTCTAATCATGGTCAAACTGTTAATTCTGCACATACATGGAATAAATTCACCACAACTTCTGTTCAAATTATAAGAGTTTATTAACAAAAAGGAGGAGTTGGAGGTGGGATGAAACGGGGTCATATGAATGAAATCTCACTGCGCAACCACCGCCTGCACACAGAAGCAGACAAGTTGCAGACCGGAGGCCTTTTAAGATGAACTTTGGATGCCGATTGGCTTTCGTGGAGGCGTGGATCAAAGCTGTCCACCTGTGTCGCAGGTGGATGTAGGAGAGCGATTAGTTTATTTAGTTGAACTTCTGCCTAGGCTCCATAAACCATCAAACATGAAGGAGCTGGAGCAGCTTGTCTGTAAAGGGTAAAGAGAATTCCAGCTGTGATTCCAGAAGTTTTCCCTCTGGGGGCTTTTCTGCAGTATTATGTCATTCCATCTTGTTTGCTTCAATCTTCTAAGTAATAGTATGTTCCAGTTGAATTCCAGGCTGTGAAAACATCAAAATAGGGGGTGTTGAATACTTTGACAGGCCACTGTTTTGGGTTCCAATTTGCAGACAAAGTCCCTGTAAGGTGTGGGACACCAACAGGTCTCTGATATTCAGA